AAAAAACTCATTTTGGGTGATTTATAAGTTTGTTTTCTCAATTTAGGTTCACAGTGACACGAGTCTGTGTGCATTCAAATTTAAATCCCCTCCGGGATAGAAACAAACAAACAAACAAACACAAACACACACACACACACAGAGAGAGAGAGAGATAAAGCATAACATGTTAGAGGTCTTTAGATTGATCCTATTATAATGCACAGTCTGATGATGATGATACACATCAACATATGATGCAAACGATTGGACACAAAGGTTCAAAGTTCAAACAGAGAACTCAACCAGAAAGTGTCTGGACAGTCCTTGCTTCAGATGATGAGCGATATTCAGAGAGATTTCTCAATATTCTGATCTATAATCTTTCTGAAAGCGATCCCACCCAGTGCAGTCTCGTCCCAGTGCAAAAGCAACTTCCCTTATGAAAACAAAGTCCACTTTAGCATAAAAGTGCCTTTTATTGTATTCATATCATATTATCTGTAATGATTTGAAGTACAAAACAACTGCACATTCAATACAATTAAGCGCACTTGAACAAAAGTGTGATTTCATGTGCAAACGTGTTCTGGACGGCGAATCGACCAATGAGAGAGAGCGCTGTCACACCACGTGACCCTCACTGCGGCCCGCGCGCGCGCGCGTGTGTGTGACAGCTGAAACACATGCTTCTCTCCTGTCACACTCTGACTGCCTTTGTAAGCAAAGGCTTCGATTCGTTTACATTTTTCCAGATGAAAAACGCTTGAAAAATAAATCAGAGAAACCCAAAACTGCCAAACTTCCCGAACCCAAGGGTAAACATCGTTTTCTTTCTCCGTTTATCGTCCTTTCTTTGTACTTCTAACATCCGCCCTCAATGTATTCATTAAAATCGCGCGGAAATCACATAAGCAATATCTCATCACTTAAAGGAACAGTTCGCTTAAAAATGCACATTCTGTCCTCATTTACTCTCCCTCAAGATGTTTGTTTCTTCTGTTGAGCACAAAGGAAGATATTTTGAAGAATGTATTAGGAAAAAAATATTATGATAACTAAAATACTAAATATTCATAATAAGTGAACTATTCCAATTACTTACAAAATATGCAGAGCACAATTATCCTAAAATATCTCAAATCAACATTAATTCAGTGGTGGATATGACAATTTAAACATTTCTTGAATAAAATGACAGATTTTTCTGTGTCTTTAGCATTTACACACAATTACATTTTTGTGTGTGTGTGTGCAGAATTTGACGATATTCCTGCTTGATAGGAAATTATGCAAAATTTCTAAAAATATATTCCGTTCAGATTCCGCTCAGTTTCAGTCAAACGTAGGCCTATGTAAAATATATTAATGTTATTTAATAAAAATAAAAACATATTGTATGTGTAGCCTATTTCAGTCTACTTTAAAACTTTTTTGATGGATTTTCATATGTTAAGATTCTGAAAGTCTGTCGTAAAACGATTATATCGTAGTAAATGATAAAGGCCTGGTTAAAAGTATAGACTTTTTGGGTCCGTGTAAATTAAGTAAAAGTTGGTTCTTTGTGCCTGAAGTTGAAAAAACACCATATTGTTTAAAATCAATTTCTCTACGGCGAAAACTAATGGATTTTGCGCTCTATTCCTGCATTGTTCCCTCATTCGTCTTCCCCTCTCTGCTCTCCTTTGTTCCAAATCAGCCGGTCCTAATTCTCCCTAATGAGTCTGCTCCACATGTTTCATTATCAAGTCATTTGTTAAACGAGGTAGAGAAAGACAGAAAGGACAGACGTGTCTAGAACAGAAAGAAGGAAAGGAGTGACCCACTAACAACTGACAGATGCCCTCGGACAGATTGTGGATAAAGACAATCCGCCGCAGGAAAACACGGATCACTCTCTCCGAGTCTGAACGCCCCGCATGCGTTATTCCCTCTCTCTCTCTCCCTGTCCTGACAAGCTCCTTCATGTCTCTCTGAATCTCGCAGACGTGTCTGGGTCATACTGTATGTTACAGCAAATCAAAAGAAAGGAATAAGAAGCAAGGAACTAAAGAGCTGATGGCTTTAAATACACACAAGAATCAACATAAAGCAGAACAGGTGCACAAACTAATTAACCATCAGGGAAACTGATGAACTGGAAACTGACGGGCGGTTTACACAGCTAAAAACGTACAACTTTTAATGCGTTTTGGCCGTTTATTTACACGACATGGGTGTTTCGGGTATTTACGCTAACTTTTGACAAAAACGCGAATCTCCGAGAACGATGACGCCATACATGTTAATTCTATAGTGTTACATCGCCATCTAATGGCCTGGCCGCAGAATACAGCGAACACAAAATCCCCAGTGTTTAATTAACGCTAAAAGTGTGACTCAGCAGAACGCCGAACAGTGTTAAAGTTGAGATAATTATGTGATTGAGTGCTGATTGAGTATTACTGAAGACACCTGTAGGGGTGCGCCAAAATATCGATATGGCGATATCTCGCGATATTTACCCCCGCGATCGATTCTC